AAAGATAGCCAATGAAGCCTGCAAGTTGCAACACAAAAAGAAAGATATGAGGAGTCTGAGCCATTGTTATTCCTTTTCTGGCATTATTACCATCTTTTTCTGCCTCCTAATCCATTCTCTTGCTTCTCCTAGGCTCCACTTTTGCCCGCACGACCAGAGGGATGCTCTTTTGGAATTCAAAGACGAGTTTCCGACAGATGAGTCTTATCCAAGTTCGTGGAACAAGAGCAGTGATTGCTGTTTTTGGGAAGGTGTCACGTGCGATGATAAATCTGGCCAGGTGATATCACTCAACCTTCATAACACCTTACTAAACAGCTCTTTGATAAGTAACAGTAGCCTTTTTAGACTCCAATATCTTCGTTACTTAAGCCTTAGGAATTCCAATCTCCAAGGAGAGATTCCTTCTTCACTAGGAAACTTTTCTCGTCTCACATTTCTTGACCTTTCTTTTAATAGTTTGGTAGGTGAGATTCCGGCTTCAATAGGCAATCTAAACCAGCTCAGAAACCTTAGCTTTTGGGTTAACAATCTCACAGGAGAAATTCCTTCATCATTAGGAAACCTTTCTCATCTCTTAGAACTTAAACTTGGGTATAATCAGTTGGAAGGAGAAGTTCCACTTTCCATCGGAAACCTAAAAGACCTAAGAACCATGATATTTGGCTATAATAACAACCTAAGTGGCAACATTCCTCTTTTATTTGCCAATTTAACAAAGCTTTCCGTTGTTAGCCTCCGCTCTAATAACTTCACTTCCACGCTTCCATCTGACATGAGTGGATTCCACAACTTGGAGTATTTTGAGATTATTGACAACTCATTTCTTGGACCTTTCCCTAAATCCTTGTTCTCAAATCCTTCGTTACGAGGGGTTTTTTTGGAAGGAAACCATTTCTCGGGACCTATAGAGTTTGCAAATACATCGTCTTCATCACCATCTAAGCTTCAACTTCTATACCTTGGTCGTAACAGATTCAATGGCCCAATCCCGGAATCCATTTCTGAATTTCTCAACCTTGAACAATTACATCTTGAGAACAACAATTTCAGCGGGCCAATCCCTAGATCTATATCAAAGCTAGCCAACCTCAGAGAGTTACATCTTAGCAACAACAATTTAACTGGGCCAATCCTTAGCTCTATATCAAAGTTAGTCATCCTCAAAGAGTTACATCTTAACGACAACCATTTCGCTGGCCCAATCCCTAGAGATATATCACAGTTAGCCAAACTCGATTTTCTTGATGTTTCCAACAACATGTTGGAAGGCGAAGTACCAAGTTGCTTATGGAAATTGGTGACGGTGTGGCTTTCTCAGAATTCTTTCAGCAGTTTTGAAAAATCTTCAAACGAAACACTGATCCAACAGTTGGATCTGAAAACGAATTCATTTCGGGGACCATTTCCTCGTTGGATATGCAAGCTTAAAGGGTTACACTTGTTAGATTTGTCCAACAATCTATTCAACGGCTCGGTTCCTCCATGTTTGATGACTTCTTATTTGAGAGTGCTAAGTTTGCGGAACAACAGCTTAAGTGGAACTCTTCCAGATATGTTCGCCAATGCTACCGAGTTACGATCATTCGACGTTAGCCTCAACCAGCTGGAGGGGAATCTTCCAGAGTCATTGATCAACTGCAAAGCGCTGCAACTTGTGAATGTGGAAAGCAACAAATTCAGAGACGAGTTTCCATCATGGTTAGGATCTCTTCCATCATTACATGTTCTCAGCCTTCGATCGAACGAGTTCTACGGACCGTTGTATCATCGCCACATGTCCATTGGGTTTGAGAGTTTAAGAGTCATCGACATTTCACACAATGACTTCACTGGAACTCTACCATCTTACTATTTTTCCAACTGGCGTGAAATGACGACCACATTAACCGAAGAAAATGACCAGTACATGAAAGATGTCCTGAGTAATTTTACTTTCCGTTATCAGTCGATGGAAATTGTGAATAAAGGAGTAGAGATGAGCTTCGACCAGATCCGACAAGACTTCAGAGCTATTGATTTTTCTGGAAACAGAATTTACGGCAAAATCCCTGAATCCGTTGGCTTTTTGAAGGAATTGCATCTTCTCAACTTGTCCGGTAATGCATTCACAAGCGATATCCCACGAATCTTGGCAAATTTGTCAAATCTCGAGACATTAGACCTCTCCCGTAATAAGCTGTCTGGTCGAATCCCACAAGATCTTGGGAAACTATCCTTTCTGTCTTACATGAACTTCTCCCATAACCTGCTCCAAGGTCCAGTGCCACGATCCACACAATTTCAAAGGCAGAAATGTTCTTCATTCTTGGATAACCCTAGACTCTCCGGTCTCGAAGATATCTGTGAAGAAACCCATGCTCTGAATCCTACAACATCACAACAACATGAGGAAATGTCAGAGTCGGAGGAACAAATGTTCAACTGGGTTGCTGCTGCAATAGCCTATGGACCCGGTGTTTTCTGCGGATTGGTGATCGGACATATCTCCACTTCACACTATCAGGAGTGGTTTACAGAAAAGTTTGGTCGGAAAAAAAACAGAGTCACCACAAGAGCTCGGTAAGCCCATCTCATGCAGTCTCTCGGTCTAATAAGTATTTGTGATGCATATCTTGTCCATTGTCTTGTTCGTGTTTGTACTGAGTTTTCTTTTCTTTCTTTCTTTGTAATATTCTATTAAACGGGTTTCTGTAATAAACGTCTTTGGTTTCTTGGCTTGAAAATGTATTACGAGAACATTCTCCTACTCAATTCTTCAACTTGTGGTATATTCTAATATAATATGGACCAATAAAGCAATTAGTGAGAGCGAAGAAAGAAAGCAGAACAAAAGTTGCAAAGATGTAAGACGATGATCTTGATTCTTGTCCGACAGAAATCAGTGTCTGTGTTTCCCTATAGCTTCTGGGTTTTTATCTCTCGGCAACTAAAAAGGTAAAGCTAATTTCTAATCCTTTTGACTTGTCAAACCAAGGTTTTAGATGGACACAAGTGTTAATGATCTGTGAAAAATCGATGATATATTTCGTTTAGGAATACTAATTAGCTAAGATTATGATAAGAAAATAATGGTTTATTTGAATTTTGTTGAGTTTCTTTTGAATGGTTTACATGAACACAAACTGTTTGTTTAACTGTCTGAAAGAAAACTGAAGTTGTGAATTTGTTTTTACATCAAATGGTTTTGGTGGAAAACAATGTGCGGCTGCCCACCCACTAGGAAATCTGCCTTTTAGGGACATATAATATAATACAATTTGAAGAACAAATGGCACAGTTCATTGACCAAGTTGATCACATCCCCACCCACTAGGAAAT